CCAATAAGTAGATCTGGGATCTTTGTAAGTGTCCTTCTAAAATGTTTGCGTCTTCTCATTTGACTCAGTGTACTGTATTCAGTAATTACAGAACAATTAACTGCCATCTTTATCAAAGAAATTCTGCCCTTCTTCCCTTGCCTCACTTATCTCTTTTTATTTTATGGCTTCTAATGCTCTATTATTTTGTTTAGAAAACAGCAAGGCTCGAAGTAATGATTTTGCTGAAAAGAATGGACTTCAGAAATATGAATATGTTTTACATCCAAGAACTACAGGCTTTACTTTTGTGGTAGACCAATTAAGAGAAGGTAAGCACCCATCTCAAAATGTACTTTTTGTGAAAGTGGCAGACATTGCTAAGCTTTATATATACTTCATCTCAAGAAATGAGATGCTGTATTTTTATCCTAAGTTGATCCCACATACTATAATAGAATATTTTGCTGTATATTCTTTAGAAATATATTCGTGAAATCTTTTCCCTGTTTTTGGAACAGATAGAATTAGACTATAATTCCATTTTTAAATATTTCTCAAAGCAACAAAACTGTCATAAAAATGTCTTAACACTTATACCAACCAAATATTTGGCTCTTAGGATTTGAGAATATATAATTTTCTCATTATTTCAGATTATAGTTCTTCATAGCTTAAAAAGTAATTTTACATTGATTAATCCACTCACTTTACCAAGTAACTCTGGTTGGTAGGAAGGCAAGTACTGCTACCTCCATTTTATAGATAAATAGAACTGGCGTCCGACGTGGTAAGTAAATTTCCACAGGTCACGCAAGTCCAGGACAGAGCCTCGTGATTCTGCTTCCTGGTTGTGGCTCATACTACCACCTCACCCCTTTTTCAGGCCATGTCTATTAAAGGGCATATGAAGACAAGGTTACTCCATTGATGGTATCACACCCATTTAAATGTTTATGTTTTGATAGTTTTGGTATGTAAAAATCCAATTGTACTTTTTATTGTAGTTCTGCATATTTATATGTTTATATATCCATACATAACAAAGTGTTTATTTTTAAGAACATTTCAAAGCCTAGAGTCACCTAGTAGAAGAATCTTGTTTATAATTTGTGCTCTCCGCTGATTTCTAGCTAGCCATATCATATAATGGTGATGTCCAGGACTAATCAACACCTTCATCTGGTAATTCATACATTGTTATAAAACTATTTGTGCCTAACATGAAAGGTCTTGAACCATTATCTAAGAAAAGGTATAACGTTCTTACTTCTTTCCCTAAATGGTATCACCCTTGGTTCCTTTAGGGTTTAATGTGCTATAAGATACAAAGTGTAACCTGCCAAAATGAAGCTTTTTTACAACTAAGTACCCATGATTTTAAAGAACTATACACAGTCAATCTAAAATCACATGGCACGGTATGCCAAAAGTGTCGTTCCTATTAGTTTGACTAGCTTTTGAAATTCCAAGGTTACAACTAATATGACATGGACTTGTGGGCTTGTCACATTGTACATGATTAGTGAGTGTCCATCTGCCCACAGAAGCTCATGGTGAACACAGTTCTTCGTGTCTGTGGAGTGGAGAGGCACCAAGACAAAGTGGTGACACCTTTTTAAAAAAATGTGATACCATTTACTGTGGCATCTACTTTAGACTCAACCCTTCTCACTTGAGTGTTTTCTATTTTATGGTATTTAGTGATTTCTTTAAAGGTATTTCTGACATAATGGAACACATTCACCTACTAGATTTCTCTGTTAACAAAATATGCTAAAGTGTACATCTTTTGCTAATAAATATATTCCTAAATGTAAGCAGGGTAATCGAGAGATTATTTCATAGAGGATAAAGGATATATCT